TCCGTCATCCATATGAACACTCGCGGAGCCGAACGCCGGATATATCCGACATCCACATGATCGCTCTCTGGGGACGAACGCCGGATATATCCGACATGCTGGTAAAATCGCGACCTAATTTTTGGACTGCACCGCCTCTTGTTACTATTGCGTGAATCTTTTGATGAAACAAACAAACGACAGTCCGAAATAAACGACACACCATTCAAGTTATATTTGTTCTACCCGCATTTCCCATTATTATTGTGTTACATGTCATAAAGGGATAGAAAATCGAAAGTACTAACTTTAGGACTAATTATTATGTATTATGTTTTGTATTATGAATATTATGTTTTATTTTATTACTGTATATTATATATTATTTCTTCACTTTTTCCATTGTTAATGAAACTTTTTTTACCTATTAAATAACTTTATACCTTATGCAGAAATTATAACTATATTGTTTTAAAGAAAAATCCCTTTTCTTCCCAAATACACTATCCACGCGCAATGTGCACAATTTCGGCGGGTGGTTCCGTTCAGGAGGGGCGCTACGGCGGACTGAACCGCCGTAGCGAAAGGGTTAATTTCTAGAGAAAGAGACGAATGCCCCTCGGACTGGAGTTCCTTGCACCGCGGTTCCAGAGGCAAAGGCTTCGCGGCCGTGGGTCGAGATGCGACTTCTAATGTCCGAAGGGTCGATTCCGGCCCAGAAGGGCCATCTCGACCCGGGATCCTTGTCCATCAAGGGGGCCGCAACAGGTCGCGGGACGAGAGCTCGTTCGCCGTCCCTCTCTCGAATTTCTGCGAGCGCGTAATGCGCGCGCGTATTAAATGAACCGGTTTTAATGAATTTGCTCGTCCTCGCGGGTGCGCGCGTAGCCGGCTCTCGGAAGGAAGACTAATCGACCGGGGCGTAACGAGCCACCGAGCGACGATCCCTCTTCGCCCGAAGAATTTCGTCTCCGTGAGCGAACGCGTTTTTTGCCGGCGCGATTCGGAAATTTGTCTGTCGCTGCCTTAATACGCCGGCTGTCACGCGCGTCGACGCTCATCCATCCAGAGTACTTCTGGCAGGTAGAGGGCAGCGCGAGAGGAGGAGGAGGATGCCTCCTCTTTTCGCTTTAATTTGCCGGTTCCCACGTGCGATTTCTCCGGCGAGCTCGTTTCGCCGGGCTAAGTACCCGGTGCCGCGTTACCGGGCCGATTTATACTCCCCTAAAATTTCGTCGCGTTAAAAAGATTTACTGCGCGCCGTTGCTCGACTTCTTTCCCTATCCTGCTCCAGCGGCTCGCGCGACGCGGATTAGGGAACCTCGGCGCTGTTTCGCTCGGAACTTCGGGAAATTAACCCGCATTCGTCGCTGGTGTCAATTTTACGCGATCTTCGAATTTCAAAGCATATTACTCCGACATTTTTAGGAAAATCGAGAGAGAGAGAGAGAGAGAGAGAGAGAGATCTCAGATTTTTATTTTTTTACACGAAGTACCGCGGCCCGAGTAATTATAGAGTCGAAGTAGCTTTTACATTTTTAGCGATATTTAAACAAAAATTTAACTGTACATCGTATTTGTATATTTTTCTATTAGAAATAATAGAATTCTTTTTATAATAGTAATAGATAATTTATAGAATATAATAATAGATAGATATCTAAATGATAGATAATAATAGAATATTTTTCTATTAGAAATAATAGAAAATAGAAGTATACAAATATAGTTATTTCTTGGTTTTTGTTTAAAAATCAGAGTTAAGATATTATTTTATTCTGTAAAAGTTTTATAAAAGTGCTCCGTAAACCTAGCGTAACTTTCGAGGAATCTTTCAAAATTTATTTACACAGTAATCTCATAATCTACTTCGACGTTACCCTCCAACATAAGATGCATTTTTCTCGCGAATAAATCGACCTGGAATTTTTCATTCAAACGAAAGCTTGAACGCAGAGCACGATTCATGCACGAGAATCGCACCAAAACTGGAATACGTCTTCTCTGTTTCAGAAGCATGTAATATTATAAATCCTTCGACGATCGAAGAAAACATTTCCATTCTGCGCGACGTGTTTATTTCACAGGTTCAAATTCGTTCGAAAATCCACTCGACACGTCGTTACCGGATCGCGAATTTTTGCGGTAAAATTGGACGAGTGAAACGCGAAATACCGAAACCGTTGGAATTCGTTAAAAATCTCCGGCCGCGTATCAAAAAGATCGGTTCGTTTATCATTTCCAAGCCCCCAATTTCCACTCGATTTCACTATTGCATAAAACGCTAATAACATCCCGATAACTGGTCCGTTCTCGCCGCGGCTTACCACGTTTGAATAAATTTCGCATCTCCTGCCGTCGAGTTATCACACGACCGAAACCTTCGTCGAACGACAGTCTAAATACTCGATGATTATAGCGTTCGGAGCAGTTCGAGATAGTCGAAGGTTCAAGCATCTATAATCAAAGATCCGTGGCCGCGCTCGAAAGTCGCGCCACGTAACCATGTTTGTTTTCGAATAATTACTCCGGCCTGTGTTCGAAGCCGACCGGCGTGTTTATACGCCTGCACAATTTTCGTCTCGTAATTGCGAACTATGCCGCGTTCGGCGATCGTACATCATTTTCGCGGAGCCCTGTGATTACCACGTTTAGACGGCTGCTTCGGCCGATCGTGACGCGAGAGTCGGCGAACTTCCATCAAACTTTCCTCGCCCGATCTTCCAACGATACCTGCTCCGTCGACTTTCGTCCCGACAAATCGATTCGTGAGAAAAAAGAAAAGATCGTTCCGATCGCTCGAGACGACGACGTTCGAAAGAAGATCGGTGCGATCGTTCGCTATCCATTGCGTTCTTTACGGAGTCCCGAACTCCGTTTCAACGTCGCTGATCGCATTTCTGCAAATTTCTCATAATTACTGTTCCGCGTCTTGCGGCACGATGTATGACATCCGAGCACAATTCTATGGCTGCAAGGAAGAACGCCGCATGCCGCTTGCTTTCCCTTCCGAGATATCGTCGGTTAACCCTTTGCACTCGAGCGATGACTCTGAGGCACCGCTAAGATTCTTAGTTCGCGTTCTAAGATAATTTTTATATTAACGAAGTTTAAATTTACAAAATCGTTAAAAGTGTAACTGTCATCACAAGTTATCGCAAGACTCAATTTCATATGCATAAAATCCACTTTGTCATATAAAATGGAAATACCATAGGTCAGAAAAATTATTTTAGATTTACAGTTAAAATGGCTTCGAGTGCAAAGGGTTAAAGCTCTGATCACGAATATTCCGTAATTAGTAGCTTTCCAAATCGCGTAAATCGATCGAGTCTATAGAATTTGTTTTCACGATGTTTTTCCGATAAATACGTGAATCCGATATGCTACCAAAATCGCGATATCTCTCTGTTTACTTCTAAACTACATCCATAAGTACATATGATTTGAATGTTTCCTTGCGTCGCGCATTCGTGCGATATGCGCATGTGTGTGTGTGTGCGTGTGCATGCCTAGCGGCGGTACTGTTCCTTTGTGCGCGTTCTTCTCGTCGAAACTCTCGAGACGTAAACACGTGCAAAAAGTTATAAAATTTGGTCACGTTTATTTTCTCTCCACGCAGATAGATTCTTTCAACCACCCACCCGACGCTTCGATCAACGCGACGACCTGAAATTTTTCAAAATTACGACGTTCCTTCTTACAGCCACAGAATTTGTCGAACGTTCAAAATATGTACAGTAATGTCTGACTGACGCTAAGATTGTGCACAAAAATGGATCATTTGGGAAGAAGAGATACGATTATTCGAGCTATGTAGCTCATTTTTATAGTTGTTGACAATTCGTAACTATAACAACGAACCGCAAGGCTCGAATAATCGCATCTCCTCTCTCCAAATTGTCCATTTTTGTGGACAACCCGAGCGTCAATTAGAGAGACATTGCTGTACTTGTTGGATCGAACTAAAACTCCTCGAAATTAGCAAACACGTTTCGAACGCGGAGCGCAGTTTTCTCACAGCGATTATCCAGAATCGTAGATCGGATCGCGCGGTGCCACGCGATCGTCGATCATGGCAACAGAATTCGACGTCGTCGAACCGCCGAATCCCGCGATTTCGAGCCGCCCCGTGATTCGGCGTCGAGCGATTACCGATCGCGCGCGAGCAAGGGTTTTAACGGCGGCGGCGTCGGGCCGCGGAAGAGAAAGAAGCGTATGATGCACTCACAATGTCCTCCATGCTGTGATTTCCGGCGTGCATAAATCCGTGATTCGTACAGCTTCCCACGGGCGTCGTGCGAAGCGTAGCAACATGCGCACGCGCGTTACTATCGGGCTGTTACTATCGCACCGCTCGACGAATCGGCTTTTCCCCCTTCGTTCACCGGGTAATCACGCGTTCCTCGGTTCACCTGGCATCGGCCGTCCCGCTGTCATCCGCGGGAGCATCGCTGAACGGAACGGAACGGAGCCGCGGAACAACCGGTGTCACTATCCTCGTGTATTCCTGGTTCTCGTTGCGGATGCGCGAACATCCGGCTTCGTAACACCGCGGCTGCCGAGCAATCCTTAATCCGAGCGATAAAAGCGCACCTTCACCGTACCACACTGGCGAACACTTTTCCGGTTCGGTTTTCCCTGGTTAACAGACGGGGACAGTCACGCACCACAAATCCCGGAAGGGAACACGCACACGCGAGGTCGCGATCTCACCGCGGGATCGCCGCGAGGATCGTCGTCACCGGTGCACGGTGACAACGACAGTCAGGGTGGTCCTCGGTCCGCGACATCCTCGTACCGGTCGTCGAAGTCTCCGCGGGTGACTCTTTCACTCTCTCTCTCTCCCTCCCTCTTTTTCTCGCTGGTTGCACACAGTATCCTTTGACTCTTCGAGGAGGAACACCGAGGGGGACCGGTGTGTCGCGAGAGCTAGGTGGCGGCCACCGATGGGTTACCGAGCAGAACCGATTGATCCTGAACGGGGCTCCTGGAACCCCTTTGGGACACAATGTCACACTCGACGGTCCGTCCGGATTGGCTCGATCGGAGCTGCTCCGTTTTTATCGCGGGCACCGCGGCCGGTGGCGGAGGCACCCGGACCACACGCACGCGCGAACACAGACAGTCCTGGTCGAAAGAGGACGAGAAGGCCCAGAGAGGAGTTCGTAGAACGGCCGGCGAGTGGACGAGCGCGCGATCGGGTACAAAAGGACGCGCCGAGAGCCAACCGTCCGCCGGCTCGGGCTGAATCTCACTGACTTGGTCGCGGCGGTGGCCGCGGACGTGTTGCGCCCGGATGGAGAGGGAGAGAACCGGTGGTACGCCGGCCGAGGGTCCGACGGAGAAAGAGGCTCCCGACGCCGGGAGGAGGGGGGGCTCGCGGGCCCTTCCATCGGAGCCCCTCCAACGGCCTACCGGGTGCCTAGGGCCTCGACCATTATCTCTGTTAGGCACCGCGGACTCCGTCCCCTTGACCAACAGGCGAAAGGGTTCCGAGGGCTTTATTATATTTACGAGGCGTTATCGGGGCAATCCAACAATATTGATTCCGCGCCAACCCGAGATCGGCCATCTTCGAGAACGCCCAGAACTCTCTCGGCCAACCCTCGTTCCGCTCTCGCATCCCCTTTTCTCGGATCTGGCTCGAGGACCGTGCTCGCTACCGGCGCCCTTGTCCCTTGGCCCGCGGAACGATCGCGGTTTCGCGATCCTGGATTCTATCTCGATGCACCCATAGAGGCGCGCGAACTCTCGGAGAACTCGACTTTTATCCACCGACCTGCATCCTTGCGACATTAGTCGTTAGGACTGTTTGAACCGATTACTCGACTTTGCCAATCGTTATTGCAATTCTTACGACTTTCGTTGTAATTCGTTTACCGCGTTCAAACGCTCCGCTATCGCTGTCGCACGCAACCATCCTTAACACTTTATCGTCCGGTCGTGGTTGAGGCTGCCACTCAGTAAGGACTGGCTTAGTCGCGCGCGCATTTGCTCCCAGTACCGGCTAAATTTTCGCTATTCATTGTGTTGTGCTTATTCCTTTAAAAATAATAATAAATAATAATTATTATTATAATTATAATTCATAAGGATATGGGGAGGTCAGCATACAGGAGGTCAGCTACTAACAAAACAGTAAAGAAGCGAAAACCGTCGATAGCTAAAAGTCGACTAATAGGCTATCGGTCGATAAGCATTGGCAATCGAAAAGCTGATAAATAGGCTAGCGGTCGATAAAGTGTTAACTCCGGTCTTACTGTCATTACCATCGTTGGTATTCTTGTTATTGTTTATTGCGCGCTCGTACTCGTGCATTCGTTATTATCGCATCCTCTGTAACAACGTGACCATTCCGTTTACACAACAAACGTTTTAAGTCTATACGGTACAATTAAGTTACTACCTCTTTAGATCATTTGGCGGACTAATCGGACTCGTCACGAACATTTTAACGGTTGGTTTACGAAACCGGCCGAAACGTCGGGTCGCTAATTTTGTTGGTTTATGATTATTCGGAATGTAAAGATACGTTTGTGAGTTATTTGTTCGATATGTGTGTTAATATATTAATATTATATATTATTGTTACTTTAATACATAAATTATATATATATATATATATAGGGTGTCCCGAAAATGTCTCGCAATCCGGAAATGGGAGGTTCCTGGGGTCACTTGAAGCAATTTTTTCCTTTGCGAAAATTTTCTCCGAGGCTTCGTTTACGAGTTATTAACGAAAAACACTGATCAATAAGAGGCGAGATCAGCTGGCGCTCGGCGGCCCAGCCAACGAGTGCACGAAGCCCAGTTCCGCTCATTATCTGGGCCATCTCGCGCCGAATGATCTCGCCTCTGATTGGTCACTGTTTTTCGTTAATAACTCGTAAACGAAGCCGCGGATTGCATTTTCGCTAAGGAAAAAGTTGCTTCGAAGATTCCTTGCCTCAGGAATTCCCTACTTTCGGATTGCGAGACATTTTTGGGGCACCCTGTATAGCAAACCACCCGAAATGAAAGAATGTCAAAGTATATAGTCTTCTCAGCCATTTAGCGAGATCAGCTGCCGCGAGGTGGCCGTGGCAACGAGTGCACGGAGCCCAGTTCCGCTCATTGGCTCGGCCGTCCCGCGCCAAATGATCTCGCCTCCGATTGGTCACTGTTTTTCGTTAATAACTCGTAAACGAAGCTGCGGATCGGATTTTCGCTAAGGAAAAAGTTGCTTGCATTTTTGGGACACCCTGTATATTAATATATTATACACATAAGTTTATATAAATTAATATAAAACCTGTTTTAGCGCTCCGTAAATCTAGCGTAAGTAGAGTCACTCTTATCTGAACATTTACTTTTGTAATCTTTGTATAATCTCTTCATACAAAAACATTCTATTATCTAAAAATTTCATTCGAGCTCTCTACTTGATGTTAATGTATCTAAATAATACAATGCTTAGACAATGGAATGTTTGGATATCGGAATATTGTAAAAGTAAATGTAATGTTCGGATAAGAGAGTCTCCACTGTATAAGCTGTTAAGGATAGACGTTATTCCTTTGTCTTAAGTCGAAATAAAATTCAGTTCCCTTAAGTGCAGGCATGGTCGGTGATTCAGCGAAGTGGCGAGTAATTTAATAAGTTTCCGTGTGTGGATTTAGTCGAGTAGCTTGACCAAACAATTTAGTCAAGCAGATTCGTTCAACTGGATCTTAGACTTAGCTTCGATCAAATCTTTTAATAGTTAGAAGATACTCGTCATTCTACTAAATTACTGTCCGTAACGTTTTATAGTATATCGTATTTTCGTATTTTCACATTTATATATTCTACTTTAATATACCGTAAATAACAATAAAAATAATATACTATATTTATTGTGTGCGCCAACCTTTGCTTTAACATTTTATACATTAACAATTGGGAACTCAAATTTTGTTTCGATTTAAAAGAGTTACACAACGTCCAGATTGAATAGATTTCGTCGAAATCTTCGCGACAAGTCTGACACGATAGTATAATGTCGCTATAGCAAATGGTTAAGCATTCGATTGAACCGAGATGCACGATGAACGTCAATTTTTTTTTCTTCCAATATAATAAAGAGTTCTAAAAATTTCGAACATTTTCATGCCGCCTATACAAGATGACAGCATCGAAAGGATCATTTTTTTCGGCCACGCTGAATCCAGATCGAATCGCGAAACGTGGTTCAAGGTCGCATGAATTATGCGAGATTCTACTGGGAGTGGTTATCTTTATCTCGGATAAGACGTGAGCGACGGTTTCTACAATTTTCTTCGCTCATAATCAGGACTAAGTGGGACACTAAATTATAGAGCGACGTTTACGCTCTCAAAGGCTACGTTGCATAATGAACGTAAATTAAAAGTGTCTGGGCTGCATGCGTTCTATAGGCGTAACAGATCGGAGAGCCGCAATTTGTTCCAAGGCAAGCTGATACAATCTTTTTCACCTTGGACCGGGTAGAAAAATCATGTTCCGATGTGTATGAGCTGTTATTATATTTAGAAAGCCTATTAATAGCTGGTCTAGCAATTATCTTCTGAAATGGTCCCTAACGCTAAACCTACCGAGGTCTAAAAGCGACTGACAAAAATTGCCTCGTAAGAATTACAAGACAGAATTTATTCAGATTTTTCATCATTTTTATAATAACACGTGCTCGAATAATTAAATACGTTCAATAATTTTTAATGGAAGCAGCTTTATAACATTGATAATTATGAAATGGAAAATGTGAAACCGGTATAATTTGACCGGCGGTGGTAGATTTAGCGCTAAAGAAGTTATCGGACTATATTACTGGCGGTAATTTATTTATTCGTCGACAAATTATATTGCTGTCATATATTATATTATATTTTATCTATTTTATTATATTTATTATATTATATCATTATATATATATATAATATATATTATATATAATATAATTATATATAATTATATATAATTATATATATAATATTATATATATATGCTGTTCATTAAGATATTCTCAATTGTTAACTTTCGTTTCTAACACGCTATTCAATCGAAACCAGTAAATAATTTGTTAGGTAACAAATACTGTTTAAACGAAGGAGCCATGATCTAATAAAACAATCAGTTCCCTAATTATTAACAACTATTCGCTCGGATTTAGAAATTAATATTTGGGTTGACAGATTAAATATAATAAATTTTTGCAAGAGAATAAATATTGTTATTTAGTTATTTCGTTTCTTACAGTTAATTGAAATTTTCACTAATTTCGCTAATCTTTTCATCAATGTCTCTTGATAATCTAACGTGTCCGAAAGGGATTCCTTAAAAATATGTTGAACAAAACCGATAAATAAGATTATAAATGACCCTGAGCATAGTTAATTGTATATTTTTTAAAAAGGTCCGCCATTTGAGTGTTAAATGAATGGCTTCGATCAACGGAACAAACTCGAAGAAATTTTCCAATCTCACTAGTTTCTATCTGCTTTCCGGAAGAGTCATTGTTTCGCGACCCCGTTGAACTTCGAACTAGCAGCCCCTTTATTTCGTGAATGGCATCGACGCAGTCTCGATTTTCAGAGAGGGCATGCGGGTTTTCGTTTACTCGGATTTGTCTTGATTCCGAACATAGGGGTGGCCTCCACTGGAGCGAGACTGTTTTCGTCCTTTTTTTTCTGTTTTTTTTTTAGATTCGTTCGACTGGATAGAGGTGGTTGTAAACGAGACGTTCTCGATTCCATGGCGGCGGAAGTTGTGAAACGCGGTAATTTATTCCTCGTCCGACAGCGGCTCCATCTCTATCGTCGTTACTTTGTAGATCTAGCCCGGGATGACTTCTTCTCCGGGAATAAAAACGAGTTTCTCGTATGAATTAGATGTCTTTTTGAATTATCGTGCCGGCCCGTACCTGACTTGCTTTCGAGGTCATTGTCTTTATAATCCCAGTTCTCGTTTCCGTCCCGGTTGTATTATGCCAGTGATTTAGGTGAACTCTATTATACCGTCCTCCCGGAATACATATTGTCATATTAGAAACGGAATCTGCTTTACGAGACGGTGCCGCCTTTTCGGCCGCGACGAAAGCGAAATAATCCTCGACTTTTGACGTCTCTGTTCGTTCCCCGAACCCTTCCCCGACGTTTTTCCATCTGAAAGCGACGGTCATCCGTTCAGAGACTACCGTGAAGGCGAGAGTAGGAATTTAACGGTCGCTGGAAACG